TATGCCTTTTAATTTGGGTAAATGTGCTTTCCTTTTTTTTTTTTTATTATATAGATAAACGTTGCAGTCGAAAAAATAAAAATTGCATAAGTGATTAGAAATATTCAAAGGCTATATAATGCGCTAACAAATGTAAGCGAAAGGTAGACGGCTATCTGTCGCATTTGCGTTTTGAATAAAAATAGTTTAGTGCTCCCAGTGCTCGGTTAAAAGTATTCGAAATATTCTTCTACTATTTACGTAGACACAGGGACTTTGTGCAGGTAAATATTTTAGAAGAAAATAAGTTTGTGAACACTTTAAGCACTTTGTCCGTCCGTCTGTCTGATTAACGTCTACCCGTGTATTTTTGAGTTCTACTTACGGGTCGTGATTGGCAAGAAATTTTGCTTGGCACCAAAGATAACCGCTATTCGGATCAGGCCGTTTTAATGGCCACCATTTAGTTGTGAGCCGAAAAAATTTTTTTACTGGTCTTAATATTTCTCGAGAAAAATCCATGAAAACTAAAATGAAAAAGTAGCAAAAGTTTGGAAAAAATAATGGGGTCTATCATTTGCCTCAACTTCGCGAACACATGCTGACACACAATCAATCTTGATATGACTTAATTGTCACTTTTCTATGACGTAAATTGGTTCAAATTAGCAATTTGACATATAGGTTTACTGTGCTAATTTCGGACACAAATAGGTCTACCTTTTGAACCCCTTGCAGCCTTCATGAGGCCTTTTTAAAGCACCAAGGTGTAAATTTTTATATTTTATGATGGATGATATTAGGAGGATAAGAGAAAAAAGGATTTTATTAAAATTAATTTTGGTTAGGGTACTTAACGGTCGATGTTGTCCTCTTATAACGTTTAGCTTGTTAAAAAATTTCATTATTCATTTTTATTCAATTACCTAAAATTCCGCACCATTTTTACAAAGTGAGAGGATGTGGTTTTGTGGTCACGGATTCTTAGCTAAGAGTCAAGAAAGAGAGAGAAAGCTCTTCAGCTAATTTAAGAACGTCAAGTACATAACATAAGTTCAAAGTCTTCTAAGGACACTTTAAAGCTTAAGTGCGCTGAACACGCAACACTTTAGGACAACAATCAAAATATTGATACCGGCCTTAAAGCGAATGTTGAACACCCATCGCGGCAAATAAATTCATACGAAACAAACGAAAGAAAAGGTTTTATAAAAGATTGAGTTTAAGTTCAATATTTTATATTATCCACCATATTCTGTATTTAAAACTCCTTCGTTCGATATGTGGCTCATGCGATATCATATGTGCATGTTGTTTATCGTATATCCTCATAGATAACCATTCATCCTATTTTAGAATACGCGTTGTAAGCTATTTATACTATTTACCGCCAAATTTTGATAAGCATTTCCCAACTATTACGGAGATAAAAAGGTAGAAGGTAAACGGAAATTGTTGCTTTGCTGCTGAGTTTACGCAGTTTCGAGGCTGATTCTAAAGCCAACGGAAAGCTCTATTTTCACATTTGACTTGTGAAATGCAAACAATGTTCTTGAACAACTTCTAGTATTTTTACAACAATTTTAAAACCAAAAATAAGCAAAGAGAAGTTGCTAAGTCATTAAATCAATATAAAGATCTTATATACATTAAAGGAAATTATCTCTAATACAAACGGAATAAGGAATTTAATTTGCCGTCACATATGCTTATCTTTCGATAGTGGATATAAAAAATGTGCATAAAATACCTAATGGTTATCGAAAAGTTTTCGTGTAATTTAATAAAAGGTCAACCGGAAGAGAATAGTTGCAAGCTACAAACTACATAACCCAATCTCACCTAATTTCGAAATTGTCGAAACGTGCATAATAAATCATTAAAAACTCAAACTCGAACATGTTTTATTATTTTTCGACAAACACATTGCTAACTAAAAACGATAAAGAAATTTTATTTGGCTGATAACGAATTTCTTTAAATCCTAACACGGTCCAGAGTAAAAGATAAAGTGACGACCGAATATTATAATAAAAATTAAATGGATTTCTTTTATTCAACAAGGATTGACGCTCTCCATTTACTTTCATAAAGTATGGCATAGTTAAAATATCTTTTATATCGATTCTACATCGTATGGTGTTTATTGTAAATTGTGTTTATTTCAAATCAAGTTTTTCATGTTTTGCTAACATCTTGACTCAAATCCATAGATCAATTTCCCTAATCGTTTTTTAAAAAACAAAGAACAACAACATATTTGATAGCAATTTCGTTGTTCGCAATAGAATTTTAAATCTGTGATTGTTATTTCATTGCTCGGACAGACGGACAGACATGTCATATAATTGATATCCCATTTTACTCTGATCAAAAATATGTATATACCTTATACTTACACATGATCTTCGATGCATTTCGATATTTTCAAGGAATTGAATCTCTTGCGGAAACTCTCCACGCCCCTATAGTGTCAAATGAGATCATAATTTTGCCCATAGGTAATTAAAATGGAAAAATTACATATTTATACTTCGTCTTATTATGCGTTCATTTTGTCAAGTGGTGTCTCTACTATGCTATAATTACTATGTTGCTCACATGGTAGCTTCAATTACTTACATGGACCTTCATTGACGCATGCTTATACTCGTGCTGTGCACAATTCACGTGAGGATGAGCCACTTTTACGTTTTATATTTCTCTTAGTTCTCTTCACGGTAACGGACGATAAAACAAACATACTTTCTAATGGATGAAAACTTATCATCTCTTCATATTTCAGTCTGAAAATTGTATTTAAGAAAACTTTGTACCTTGTGTTTGTTATCCTTTTCTAAACTTGAGCGGATGATTCAAATATTCAGCGAAAATGCAAAGTCCTTTGCCAGAGTTTTAAGGAAGTTAAAGCGATTAATTGTGGTAATATGGATATATACATACGCAATATATATATAAATATTTCCTTTCTGCCTTCGAAAGTAACATTTTAGCAGGCGAAGAATACTACGCGACCCTAAGACTTGTTGCAGCAGTAGCCTAACAGTAAGTGTGAGCAAATTTACATATAGTATTACTATGCAATTAACCACCTTAGTACCGTTTCTCACCGAAATGTGATGGTGTATGCTTGATTCGGTCTTCACCGAAAATAACTTTCTTCCTTGCTTTATAACGACAGTCGCAGGAGCTCGCAAAAGTGTGATTAATAACAGCCTTAAACACATATACTGCGGCCAAATTCGATGCGGTAAAACACAGCACAATGCTGCTTATTCATAAAACGGAAGAAGGATTCGGCTTTAAAATAATAATATATTCCGAATGCTATATGCATAGAATGTTTAACTTCTAAGTATGTTAATTTAAAGGCAACAAATATGAGAAAATGGCCGATATTAAGCCGAATACCATTTTCTTTTAGAGCTAATTAGTTAAATTAAATAAACACTAATTATCTTTAGTATTTCAAAAGAGCACTGCCTCCTCTCACTCCAACAGCATAATATACAGAAAAGATAAACTTAACGTATGCACATAAAAATGTTCATTAAAACACTCCCGTTAATCAATATTCTTAACGTATTGAACAAGAATTTATTGTAATCTTAAATATCACATACCAAAGCAATGATGTCTAATGTCTAATCCTACAATACATAAAAAACAAATTACCACACCTGTAAATAAAGCCCAAAAATGTTTTGCAAAAAAAAATAAAGAAAAACTTCATAAGAGTAACAAATGCGCCAAAAAAATTCAAGCAAACGGCAACAAACAAGAAGCGAAACCAAATTAATATAATCTACAATAAAAAGCTTTAAGAAAAGCTTTAATATCATAAAATTTATAACAAAGTATAGGAAAGAGCGAGCGAGCAAGTAATGCTTTGTCAACTGATAAGATTTAAGTGTGGTGTAGTTTAAAGAAAATTAAAAAACGATGTAGGTGTTGATGATAATGATGATAACAGCGATGATGATCATGATGATGATAATGAAAAAGAAAAAGAAAAAAAAAAAAAAAAAAAGACAACCAAACTAAAAATCGAATCAACAGCAATAAATCAAGGAGGAAAAACAAATAAACAAAAAGCTTTCAAATTGACATTTAACTGAGTAAACGAGATAGACTAAGCACTAAGCACATGGATAGATATACGTTGTATAAAAGTAAAAAGGGAAAAACAAAAAAAAGGAAAAAAACAAAAAACACACAATACGACAGCGAGCAGAGAGCAGAAAGAGAAATAGAGAAAATCTATGTTTATAGAGAAGCGCAAGACAAAACTTAAAACTCTCCCTCTTTTCTGGCAAAACATATGTTTTAAAGCACAATCAAGTCTTATAGAATATATGTGAAACAATTTACGCGATAGATATATCAATAGCTATACACACACACACACACACGCATACACACAAATGTACATAATCGCAATCATTTTCTTTTAAAGGAAACTTTTATACAAAAATTTTTTTTTTGCAAGTTATTTCATGAAAATCATGAAAACCAATTAAAAAGCTTTAATTATTTAAAAGAAGAAAAAACAAATTTAATTAGGAAAACCGAACAACCGCAATAACAGCAAAAAAATACATTTACTTTGAATGTATTAAAATAGCCACAACAAGTTAAAACAGTGGTGAGTAGCGTGAACGGTTGAATTGAGGGAGAATTTGCGTGTTTTTCTTGCACCTACTGCTTGCTTTATACATTTCTCTTTTTTACCACGGTTTCTAACTAAAATCATTACTATAGAAAGACAAAAAAAAAAGAAAAAAAAAAAAAAGAAAAGGAAAAGGAGAAAACAAGAAAAACAAGCTAACAAGTCCAACCGTAGCATATTGTTAGAAAATTTTCGCTTAATTCCAATATATTTTATTTAATAAACAGCAAATATTAGTTGAACTCTTTATAAGAATTCTGAATTTATTCAATTTTATTTACAAATATAGGTCTCCTGAAGAAACACATGGTAACTTTTCAGAAAAATAAATATATGGTCTTGACAAACTTACCTTCGCAAACAAGTCAGTAGTGTTTATTTTTCATTATACATTTATAATGACTTTTACATCTCTATTGGTAAAGCACTTTTTTCTTTTACATATTTCAAAGCTTATAAAACAATTTAAACAAGTTTTTATTAAAGAAATTTTCACTAATAAAATTTCACTTTTTCATTAAAAAAACAAAAAAAGAAGCATAATATTTAAGAATTTTTTTTTTTTAAAAAACCAAAAAAAAAAAGAAAAAAAAAAACAAGAAAAGAAAATAGAATAATCAGAATAATTCGTTTAGCAAAATTACCGCTAGCCCGTATGACATTTGAAGATTTCTATACTGAATTTGTGTTGCGTGCATGTTTGTTACAACTGCCACACTGCAGCTATTAATTGCAATAAATATACATATGCACTCGTATGCACATATATAGAGGGAAGAATATTACGAACGAAACGGATAAAAAAATAAAAAAAAAAAAGCTTCTTCTAGTTATTTGCTACAGTAACTACACCAACGTAGCCATCAAACCGACCGAATCAAATGAACATTTGATTATCTATTGACTTGTATAACTAACTAACTGGAGTCCGGTGTACGTTAAACATTAATGACTTTGTTCGTAACTTTTAACGTACTGACTGACTTGAACGGCCGCCACCATGCAAAATTCAATTGCACATACAATACACTCTTTTATTTTTTGTTTTTTTTTTTTGTTTTTTTTTTATTTTTTTTTTACTGTCATAGAAACGAAAGCAGCAGCACTAGTAAACAGGCGCATACATATACACAACAATAACAATAACAATTGTTTATGTTTTACTTTTGTCGTTTCTCTCATTCTCTCTTTTTCTCTCTATTTCTTCATCTTCATTATCATTATTAAACATCGTAATAATCATCGTTAAGAAAATCAAATCAAAAACGCCAACACTACCACACTACCACCTCCGCTAAAGCAAACAACAAAAACAACAACAACCATGGAGATATCCAAAGAATAGCTTGCATTTTACACATTTATGGTACTTACTTGCACTGTATGCGTCAATTCATTTATTCAGTAGGCCAAACATTCATTCATACAATCTATACGAGCTAATTCTCACATTGCTATAGATATATATACATATATACATATATATATAATCACATATTCGCTCTTTTTCTCTCTATTTCTCTCTCTCCATATATTTATCTTTCTCGCTTGCTCACCACAATGAATATAAAGCAACAATTTGTTGTTGACGAAACAGAGAATTTAATATTCACTTCAAGTCCTTTCTTCCTCTCTTACTCTCTCACTCATTCATTCGCTCGCACCCTCTTGATTTCTTTTATATTTGCGAGTTTTTCCACTTGGCTCTGTTGCCTATATTAACTCCTATTAGAAAATAGTAGAACTGTTATGTTGTACACAAAGAGTAAAAGCTTTAATTAGTAAAAGCTTTTTTGCAGCTTTTAAAACACAGAGTGTTACAAACACAATTTTACCGTTACAAAATTCAAATTTAAAAGAAAACATATACAAATATATTTCTACAATTTGAAAGCACACATTAAACAATTGGAAATTACTGCGCTCGCATTTTTAACGAAACCGATAGCCTTAGACGTTAGGGCTTCTTTTGTCATAGAATTTATTTCTGTAGCGAAATTAACGATAATAAAAAAGATAAATTTTTGGAAAAAATTGCAATAGTAGTGGAATATTTATTTTTATATTTTGAAATTGTATTCTTATAAAATGGCTGCTTGCTGTAAGAATACAAATATAAAATATAAGAGGTAATTAGAAGGCCTTACTACTCAATATAATAGGTGTGGTGGAAAGTTATGCCCGTGATATTCATTTGACGTTTATTTGGTTCCCTTGTGTAGGTGCTGACCTAGCAAATGAACGAAAACAAAAATTGATTCATGTTAGCAATAAGTAAAACGCGATCGTGTGGTTGCTGATAAAGTTCATTTACGTCATTGTATTTTGTACGAATTCCAAGAAGGGAGGAATGAAAGTCTTTCTGATAGAACATGGTTCGAAAACTTTCAAATACATGACTTCTCAATCGTACTGATAAGCCAGGGACAGGACAATGTTAAAGCACAACCTTTGTTTGACAACATCGAGAATTGTTGGAAGACTTGACACAGCTCAACAAAGCTTTTTGAACCATACTATAGGCTTGGGCGAAACTTTCCGGTACACCTAATATATTATACCATTCAATAATATTTATAATCTAACGTCAGGCTATAATTCTTTAATTCTCTCCCGTTCATTTTCCTTGTCTAGCTCTTCCTCTGTGTGCTTCTTTCTCTCATTAAACATTTCTTATTTTTGTCGCAAGCTATACTTTTTTGTCGTAAGCTATACTTTTTTGTCGTAAGTTATACAATTTTTGTTGTAAGCTATAAGTGGTGTAGGGACAAAGCAAAAACAAAATGAAAATAGTAGAAACATCAAAAATAACAAGAAAGAAAAAACTTTTATGAAAATTAAGAATGTACAAACAAACAATGTGCATATTAAACAATATATGGGAAATCATGTAAAGAAACTCAAAAAGATAAATCAACATCAATTTCAAATCACGTTACTTGTGCAAACTTAAATGAACTACGTAAGTGTAATGTAACGACCGTTCCAGTCAATTTTTACAGCCACCAACATAGAGTGAGAGTGTATTCTTTTTGTTAAACGATTTAAGCATGTTCGTCCGTCTGTCCGCATGTCGTTTGTCGGTGCAGTGTCTGTAAATTCACAATAATTCTGCTGATCGCAAAAATGAACATAACGCCTCCAAATTTGGTGAAAGCATTGGAAGTTCTTGCATCCAGCCTATGGACCAAGTCGGTGAAAGCGCAAACGTTCGGCACAATATTCACTGAAGATATCTCTGTCTTCGAAGGAGAAACAAATCGAATTTTTACTCATTAGTCGTAAGCTATAAGAATGGAAATTTTTGTACTCTATGGTTGACCTTGCAGTGCGTGTAGAAAAATGATCAAATGCGCTCAATATTATAGCATAGAGTTCTTTTTGGAGTAGATTTAAAGTGAGAGTTCTATTTGAACAAACTTTAATGTTTGCTTTTTTCGCTTATGGATGGATCAATTTCAACTCGAATCAAAAGCCTAAAATGTTGGCATCAGAGTATAAAACTTCAAAACTTTGCCTAAAATGTACTTACTTCAACCGATGAATAAGTTGACGTAACTTAATCAAACAGATTGATACGAGCGGAATACGTTCTATACCTATATCACGGTATTGCCGTTCGGTGATGTTTTCTCGATCGCGTATACACTAATATTGGAATTAACAAGTCCGTCAATTTAACTTATTTCATATTTTACAGTTTCTAAAAAGCACTTGTAAACTTGGAATATTTAAAAAGTTTTTAATAAATTTTAATTACCGGTAGAATATGATCCTAAGCCTGTAAGTCTGTCCGTCAGTCTGTCATAATTGTTTGTGTCCAATCTAAAAATCGCCATTTTCGAGATATATGTTAAGATAATTTGGTTTGCTGTTTCGGCCCAAGGACGAACGCTATTAAAAATTGTTCGAAATGGACTCCTTTTTCCACCACGCTTTCCATACAACGCCTCACTTTGAAAAGTCTTTATATGAATAATATAATATGGAGAGTACTTAATGGTGGGCCGCAGCTCAGTATAGCAATTTTTACTTGTTTTATTTCTGAAACGCTAACAACATGTACCTATTTCTAATAAAGCGGGTCAATTTGATTCACTTATTACCCCGAGTCGCAATAGTTTCAAGAATAAAGTTAGAGGGCTAAAATTCGTCACGTAGAAGGAAGACTTGAAAAATGCATATGTTCGTTAAATAGACGCGTCCACAGTGCACAAGAAAGTAAAACAAATTTGAAGATCCTGATAGTTAGCGTTATGTTGACTTTATACCTTAAAATCCTGCCGAGATATTTTCGAAATGCTTTTACCCAGGCATTCTTCGGAAATGCTGATAGAAGTACAATTGTTTTTGACATGAAGCGATCTTTGATATTATGAGTATCATCCCTTTTGACGTTATTTGTGGGAGTAAAATAAAATTCATTTTATAGAACATGACTGAACATGGGTTCAGTGAAAGTGTATTCTACTAGATGAACAAATAGCGTAAACATATATGTATTGCAACAGAACATGGTAAGTCGGAAAGAAATGACTTTTCATGAATTTCCGTAGTTTAACAAAGGAAACGGCTCGATCAACGACGTTAGGGCACTAATTTTGTCAAAAGGAACTTATTCAAATCGCTGAATAGATAGCAAATTTTGACGAGTGCATACTTCAGCGCGCCCCTTACGCACTTCGCCGCTAAACCTGTCCTTATCTCTGCATGAAATTCTAAAACTCTTAATACCCTCAGCTAAAGAGATAAAAAAAGGAAAAGAAAGAAGAACGCAGTACGCGTTTTTCCCAAGTTCGTTGATCATTGGCCGATATTGACGAATCAAACTTACGTTATAAAAGAAAATAATTGATTTGTTATTATTCACCAGCAGGTATGTATAAAGTTGGCGAAAATTTACGATCTGCCAAGTTGGTTACAAAAAAAATTTAGAGGACTAAGCATATATCAGGTTTCTGATATATTAGGTTCGGGGGAACATTCTGTCCTATTTTTAATAAAACATTTGAATTGATGTTCGATATGTTGCTCAGCAATCGAATGGTGGGTGGGGAGCCTTTTGGCGTTTGTAAAACGGTTAGAACTGGATTACTTCTCATTATCACGCAGATGAAAGCTTCAGAACGAAAATCAGGTGAAACATTTTTGGTACATCCGAATATTCGCAATGTCATCGTCCAAGTTTTTACAGGCATCCTCTTATATTTCCACCTTTCTGGAACTTATTCCAAACTGCAATGTCTTAAATGCCCTTTATTCGCCTGGCACTTTGTGCAACTAACTGATGAAGGACGTATACCTTGCGGTAGGTACACTAAATAATAAGACCCACACATGACGTGTTGCCTTGGCAAGTAAACTTACCAGCAGGTAGCAAAATACGCCACACCCTTCTCGCCAAGCCATTACAACTACTACTAAGGAGAAAGTAAGACAATTATTTTCGAAAATATTCTTTGATTATATTATCAATCAGAAATATTGATTAGAATAGTTTTTAATTTCATTTTCTCGTCTTTGCTTGAAAAATTTTAAATTTTTTCTTAAAGAAAAAAAAAAAAAAAGGTATTGAAAAAAAGAGAAAATAAAAACACTTTATGAATAAATTTAAAGTTTAAACTGCTTTCTGCAAAAGTCCTCAACAATATGAAGCAAGAGTGGTCAAAATCATACTTGGTGCAGCCTCAAGATCATCTTCAATCGCATCTATTAAAAAGTCAAAAAAAATTCGTTCCGTCTTATGAAAGGGAGGTAAGCCGCTAACAAATATTTTCAAAATGTATTTACTAAAAGCAAATTGAATTGTGCTCACAGAGTTGCCCGCTCTCGATGAGTTTGTTAATTGGCTGGGAATATGCACGTATTTGGCGTAAAGAACGCGATGAATTCGTCCGAGCTCGCGTGACGAGAAACAAACCGAAGAAAATCAAAAATGATTACAACAAATGGCTGGAGAAACGCAAAACCAAGATGATTAAGACTTGCGGGCCCAAACTATAAGATATTTTCCAGATGCATTTCTTTCAAGTTAAGACCTTGCTTATGCTTACATATGTAGGTCCCATTTTACTTGCTAAATTGAAAATTCTACTCGAGAGGTCAATAATAATAAATCGATGTATATATATATATATATACATAGTGGTCTATTTCTAATATATTTATTTAATTGCAAGGAATCTTTCCCATGATTTGATAAATCCCTTCAGCTGTAGTAGTGCAATGTTAAAAAGTATTAGAAGACTTTGTAAGAGAGCATTAAAGATGGAGAATATTGTTTTGGGCTATTAGTAATAGTTTCGAATAGTTTTCGATAAGTAAGGCTAAGAGTAAGTGTTGACCTGCGTTCCCTTTTTGACAAGTGGTATGCAATTCTGGAGAATTGAAATCAAAATTGCCCGCCGAGAGACAAAAAATTGCCGAACCACATTCGCCAAATACAGTGGCCATCTCTTCGTAAGGGGAATATATAGCAAGAGTCGCCCAAAGTATTGCTTCAAGTTCGACAACCGATTTTATTACACGCTATATTCCACATTCATAATAGTGGGACCACTTTTTCACGGCTTCGAAAAATGTGTTACGTCATTTATAGGGCCCTGCAGATATTCTCCGTTTAAACAAGCAAGATATATATAAAATAATTTCGCACCGATGACAGCCCAGCGCTCCATTCCAGCCTTGTAACCGGTCACTGGTCATAACATGTGTTTTCTCGGCATAGTTTTTACAACCTCCTATCGGATTTCGTTGACATCATTCCATTACAAAACATATTCCTAACCAAAAAGAAAACAAATGCCTTATGTTGTTGTCAAAATGCGGCCGTAAGAATAAGAAGAGGGAAATATTAATAAGTCTACGAGACTATTATTCTATTCTTTAAATAATTCGATTAGACGGATTACCTTTTGTGTCAAAAATACCACTCCACACTAATACCTAACTGGGTATGCCTTTCTTCTTCCTTTGCTTCCTGCTGCATGTTATCTAATCTGCTTTTCTAACGAAACATTAATCGACCCTGTTAAATGCCTGCTTGCCTAATTTTCACCTCTAAATAAATGGATGTAAACAATGGTGTTACTTTACTACTACTAATTGTACCTATACCCCAGCATACAGCGCGATTGGGGATGACTTCGCTTGGAACACAGGCGTTCACATTGCATTTAAATGCTTTAAGTCTTTACGTTTTTACTCTTCCTAGCTTGCATGTAAAATAATGCCGAGATGAATATAAGTAAAATTTTAAATTTTTATGCAATATTTGAAAATATTGTAATTTTGCATGGACTTGGCAAATTTGTTGCGTTCTTGTGCAGGTACTATGGGATCAGCAAATTCTTGTTGTTGTGGTTTATGCCTAATGGGGAAAAAATGAAGAACGACAGGAAACCGAGATGTCCCATATTTATAAAGTGCTGTAGGCGGATCGTCTGGCCGACTTAGCCCACTTTCATTTCCAACTTATGTGCAAGAATTATCAATGGTTTTAACAAATATGAAGCCAATATCTTGTAAGCAACAACGTGGCACACTCAGACACATAGACAGACATGTTTAAATCGATTCAGAGTCCGATACTGACCAAGAATATATATGCTTCCTTCTGGGATGTTGCAAATATTTCGATAAAATAAACTCCTCTCTCGGCTGTAGGAATGTGGAAACATACGATATCATCATGAATCGTCTGTTGTTGATTTTCTGAAGTCCAGGAGAAACTATTTATATAAATAAGATTTCTTACCTGTTTTTGGGTTAAAATCACACAAATGCCACAAAGTGCTGAGATCACTCTCCCTATGAAACCATGCAATAAGAGGACCCATAAGAAATCAATTATTTTGAAATCTAAGAAACACTTTATAGTAGGTTCAAGACTATATTTCTCAATTTATTACATATTTATCCATCATTATCAAGGACAGTTTGACAGTTGTCATCTTGAGTTTTCATTATCAAATTCAACTGATCGTCCGCTTCTAGACCTGCCAGAGAGATTCTAATCACATTTTACTCTTGTTTATCGCGTAGGATTGAGATCCGGGCTTTGACGATAAATTTCAAAAAAACACGCTACGTATTGCTCACGCGTTTGTCCGATGTAGCGTCGGGAAATCAACCCGTTTGACTGACGATCGGTTTTCGCTTCCAGTGACATGCCTCCTCAAAATATGTATGCGGACCACACCTTTATAAGACACGTTTAGAGAGGCAGCGTTGTGCGAAACGCTCACCGAGTCTTCGATAGAAGTTTCTCCGTGAAGACACATCCTGCACTCGCCACTATCTTCCATCGTACTATGATCAAACTCACACGTACTCGAGCGAACCAAAGGCGTGCCTGTCGGTGGGCTAGGGTCAATTTCGGGCAAGTTACTGGAGTGTGCCCTGTTAGGCCTCCTTCGACAAGTCTTCTTGCACCGTCCATTGACTGGTTTCCAGTTCGCTACTAGTTTTCGTAGTGACGTCGTTGCAAATTCAAGGTCATCACGGTATATTGTAACACATTTTCAGCTCCTTTTTCACTCCTCGTTGCCTTGTACATTCATCGATCTATTGATATGGCTGGCACGCCGAACAGCTTAAAGGACTTAAGTTTGTCTGTCCTGCTTCGTATTGGTTCGGGCCAGCTTTAATTAGTGAAACCACTTGAGACGTTACTTCCGTTATGGTATCCATTTTCTTGTTTCGAATAGTCTTGCATTCGACGACTGCGAGTTGGTACGCAATTTATGCCTTTCCTTTTTTTATACCAGCTCAAAATCGCGAAGACAGTGCTAACTGAAATGAGCTATCTTGTGTATATCGAGTATAGTTTTCGAGAAAGTTTTTTCTTTGCCTTGTTTGTCATTAAATTTAATCAAATTTAAATCTATTAAAGTTGAAAAAACTAAGAGAAGAGTTGTGATTTAAGCAAATGAAACAACAACGAATGGAACAATTTTGAAAAATAAAAAAAAGTTTACGAAACTGTCGAAGAGAAAAAAAAATGTGTACTAAGTAAATACAATAAGATAAATTAATAAATAAAGAGAAATAAAATTAAAAAACGTGACTTAAGTACAAAACGATTGATTCGAATCAAGAGGAATACAATGAGCAGATGAAATCTTTACATTGTTGGCATAATCTTGCGACAAAGAAGTAATTTTCGTTTTACTACTTTCAAGTCGGATCAGATGAAATCAAATATTTCGCAATTGCTTTTGAAAGGAATCCACGGAATAAGAAGATTTTAGTCAAGGTGTGCGGATAAAGATATATATGGAATGAGCAATTAACCTCCAACAACACGCAAACAACCATCCAGACACCAACGATAAGCTTTTTGATTGCCTCAGGGATACAGTAAGTCCGACTGCAAAAAATTTCTTACTAAAATAATGACTTGCTATCTTACTGAAGACTGCGTCTCTCTTGTAACACCATTACTACAGTCTTAACAATTAACTTTTTCAGAATGTCTCCATCCGGATTTCGATAGACATTATGCTAGGCATTCGCAAACCGATGAAACCGGACGTGCGGATATTACCTGATCCAAGCAAAAATCATTTGAAGTTCATATCATTCTTTGCTTAGTCAGCGAAGTGCTTACGGAAACAGATTTAGCAATCATTTGCAATGGGCCGCACCATTGACGTTTGGCCGCACTGCATTTACGTTGGTTCATGTCTTATTTTACCGATTGGAAAAATGCGCTTTGCGGGCACTAGGGAACAAAGTGTGAATTAGCGCCGTGACCAGTAAAATAGATGCACTCACTTTATTCAAAATTTATTTTTTAATAGTGTTTGAGACGAGATTTATGTCAACTTTTCCATCGAAGTAATTGCTCTTTTTCTTTCTATTCCGTTCTATTTTTTCTAAATAGCTTTACTAATGTAATTTTTTAATTATTACTTTGCAGATTTACTCTTCGTAATCCGACATGCCCCGAAAGCCATCTTTAAATCGTTTGGAGCTGTCTTAGTTATAAGCTGCTGTTTAAATGTCACAAGTGCCTTCAATATTATCGTTGACACTTCGCCAATGGTATAAACGGACTCTCTTCTCTACGATTATTGCATGCGCGATAACTCTTGATGCCTTCGTAGAGCCCATCCAGAACTTCTGTTTCGTTCTCCCGAAACATTTCGGTGTTGCTCCGAATTTGCTTCATATTAATTGCGGTCTGCGTTCTCTTAATTCGGATATTAAAAATTTTAACGAAATAAGAAATAAAAAGAAAAAAAAACAAAAAAAAGAAATAAAAAATTATTTATATTAAATGAGAGAAGTATTTTAGGTATCCCTATTTTCCAATTAGAACTAGAAGCTCTAAAAGCCCAGAGGGAGATTCCTGAGTTTCCCCACAAGCCAACCAATATTTTTTTTCTTCTATATTAATGCATATTTCCTATGAAAATGCAAAATTTGTGTTAAGCTTGTCTGAAGAAAACTTGTGAAAATACTTTTAAAAAAAAAACCTTTCCAAGGATATGAAAACAAGAACTAAATAAAGCCGAACATGTCTGCACCATTTGTGGTAGAGGGTATATTAAGTTGCACGGATGCATGTAACGCAGAAGGACTTGAGATGGACACAGGTTTTATCATTACGAAAATGATTCTGAATCGATCTAAGTCTGTCTATCCGTTTAATGTCTGTCCATGTAAATTTGTGTTCATGCTACAGTTCGAACACTATTGAAAATGTTTCCGATCCGACTAGGTTTTCGACCACTTCCCATATAAACTTCTATATGGATAAATGTAGATGCTTTTATAACAATACCAGAGGCTGTAAAAATTTGTTGACAGTTTTTATGACTGATTAAAAACAAAAGTTTCACCGAGTTATACTTTTGCGCACCTTTTAACACTAAAAAAGTTTCAATTAACGGAAATTAATTTTTCATGAAAAATACCTTAAATTGAAAGAAACATTCAAACCAACCGGGCCAAGGGCAGCTAGACTTTAATTTATTACTTTTCCTCTTTAAGACACGCCATTAAAATACTCATATATGTAGTTTTCGGATGTTGGACCAAATTTGTTCCATTATATGTAAGAAATTATCATTTCAGATACATTAAGTGTATGCTAATGACATTGAAATGCCCTTCTTGTTGTTGCTGCTACTTGTCACTGGTCACTGGTATTCATTTGAACCAATTATAATTATTTTTCTGTTTTTTCTTCATTGTTGTTAAAAGGACAAAACTTTCTTTAATAATTAATGATTAACATTACAGTAGAAATTTTTCTGGACTCTAAGGCAATGCATCGTAATGTGCATGTATTTCAAAGAAAGCGAAAAATATTACATAACATAATTAAATACACATAATCCCCGGGTTGACGGTAATTCTTAAAGTACTTTGCCTTTTTAGTTATTTGTAATATTTTTACGGCGTAGCTGGCGAGGGAAGAATTGTAAAATAGTAATGCACATCGCTCGTTTTACACACACACGTACGTTAGTTATTTACATGAGCTAAAGCAAGCTGACGTTTACCAAGCTTTATTAAAAGCTACATTTGTAGCTTAGTGTTAAAGCTTTTTTTTTTTTATTACAGTAGTGTACATAACCGAGTTTAGCCCATAAAAATATATTCTAATTTAACAGTCATCGCGTCGTGATGCATTTATTTTTTAACATTTAAGTTGATTTATTTTTAAACTAATTGATTTTCAATAAAAGTGTAATATAATTAATAAGTAAAGAAGAGACGACCGATGGGTTTCTTACTTAAACTTTTCCGTTTTTACAAAAGATTGTTTTCCGCAATTTATTCAAAAAAAAATGCGCTCCGAGAAACTAAATCCATTTAGGAATGCACTAAAATAGTTATATTTACTACATCCCTTGCGGGGATCGAACCCGCGACCTTTGGATTAGAAGTCCAACGCACTATCCTCTGTGCCAAAGGGACGGGTAAGGAACACAATTGCTTAGTTGCATATACTAAAATTAGGTTCTCAAAGAAAGTGAAAAAATTCTTCAATTGAAGAACTCGCTACTTACATGAACCAAATAGACATTCTGAAGTTGTTTAATGCTAAAGAAAATACCCATAATTACCCGAATACTTACGCAGATTGATAAAATGAATCAAGTGCTAATATCGCCTTACAGTTCTTATACCCCCAATCGGCTATATAGTCATTTCATCAAATGTTTACAACACCCAGAAGGATGTGTCAGCGACCCCATAAGATATGTCAAAAAAGTCCGAAATGATCTAAGTATGTCCGACTGTCAGACTGTTTCTAGAAAACGTTTTCTTGGGTACAGGACCGCTATTAGTTTTGAAAATTTTGGCAGAAACATTGGAAGCTCCTGCTTGCAGGTTGACATTGAAATATGGTCAAATAGGTCAAAGCACACACAAAAATGGAAAAAATCAGCCAATGATATATATAGTTAGTTTTTTGTTTTCAGTCATACTTAAGATAATGGTTATGGTTATAAAAGCAACGGTCACAAGCGAGCTTACATCGTTTTCTTGCTTTGCTTACCGATCAAAATATTCCCTCAAATATCAATAAATTTTGGCCTAGTAACCGGCAAAACTAACTTTTCCACTGAAGACCAATTGGGGCCAATTTTTCGAGGGAAGCATTACTTGTAAAAGTTCTTCACATCTGTCTTCTTGTGTTCTTAAAGAATGTGAAAAGTACGTTTTTATGTAACTCTTATGTCTACTGTTTTCATATAGTTTACCAACACTTTCCTTTTCTTATACCCTACACTGCTATCCATCTTTTGGGCTTGTCTATCCGTCTGATGAAATTTTCTACACTGACATATTTCGGACCAAGGCCAAGAACACTGTTAAAAATTATTTGGATCGGACTAGTTTTTCTCGATCACTACCCATATGACGCTTCAATTTAAAAGGTCGGTATACGGATAAAAGGCGATATAAAGTATTTAAAATCGGGTCGTGTCCCACGATACTTTATTGATTTTTATTCTAAATTAAAAATAGGTCTCATTTGATGATTCTCTATGAACTAAATTAATTTAAACTTTGTGGAGTATTAGAAAATTACTCGTTGAAGGAAGTTTAGGCGCAAAGTATGAGAACACAGCATTTTTTTCCCTCACAACTTTCTGATAAAAGATGCATTTTTTAATGCCCTTTTATACGCGTCCTTCCTTATGTAAATTTTGTTTTGTTTTCTCTTAAACTCTCCCAGATAAAAATGATTATAAAACAACACGTACAGTTGATGTCCGGAAGACTCGCTTTATGTTCAGCTTTACCTTGCTTTGAGATTACAGATTAAGATTTGTTTCTGTTGTTTGCAAGGAATGATGCAAACTTTGCTTGTATATTATGTATGATGGTTTTGATAATGATTTGAGAAACAAACTGAACATGCCGAACAACAAGGTGATCACATTTTGTGCACATATTTATACCTCCGATTATAGGAGGTTGCATTTACCCAAGAAATGAATAAAGGCTATGAGCTGCAGAAGATCAGTATTGAACAAGGTGCAAAGATCATAGTCTCTTTCCTCTCAATGTCTTCATAGCTGCCGTATTTGGTGAAATCACGCTTTATGAAAGACATGCTATTACAATCAGTTGTAATTCGTACACCACACGAAACTTTCTCTTCAGCATCATTGTACCCTAGACCGTTTGTCGTACAGGTTTACGCGGATGTTTGCAATAGGCGTAAGAGCTCGAAACAGGCTCCACCTCCCATCGAATCATTCATATTCGATGTATTCTTGTGTCCAATCTGCATGTCGCAAGTTTTAAGATGTTTCAATGAAATCTAGTGCACGAACGTGTTTTAGTCCAAGGACGAAAGTGGTTTGAATTAGGCCACTTGTGGGTGAAACACGAGAACACAAGACGGACTGATGGTAAGACAATTTAATGAATGATGGGTCAGTCTCAATTCCTTCAAAGTGTGTCATATAACCCGCCACGTTCTTTTTTCAATATGCAGAATAATAGCTTGCATTGCCATTGAAGCTAAAGGTCTTTTCGGAAAATTTCAACACCACACTATCCTATAATTATTCCCATAAAGATTTTTCAAAATATGGCTTTATATGGGAAATTGTTAAAAAGTGGTCCGTTCCGAACCATTATCAATAGCGTCAGTCTTGGTTCAAAACACGAAATTTCATCAAATTATCGCAAAAGTTTGCGGGCTACAGGTTCAATCCATAAAAAAGAAGTCGGACAGACGACTAGGCAAACTCCGAATCACTTTCTGAATCAATCGGATAGAAATAGAAAGCTAGTTCATCTCGAGTCGTTGTGGGTGTGGCATACATCCACACAAACTTAGTACATCAATGTATCATCAGTGGTGTAGGGTATAACGGCAAGATCCCGATAGATATGCTTAAGTGAAGTTAGATATTCACGCTGATCAAAAATATATATACATTATGGGGTTTCCGATGCGTAGCTGTAAGCACCCCAGACATTTTCCCAAATTTTACATATCAACTCTGATGAGTGATGGGTATAAAAAGTACACTGTGTACTATTTTTAATATAAACAAAATCACCGTTCTGTGGTCTCAACCACTTTTTGCTTTATTGCAATATTGAAATATCATAAGAATTTCTATAACGAAATGTTTGTTTTTTAATCAAATAAATGAATATTTTTTTCTTCTTGTTCTTTTGTTTTGTTTTGTGTTAATTCTAAGTAATATCTCGTATTAAAAATTACAACTATACATATTTTCATCCCTTTCTCGACCTTAACTCGCACGAATGTACACTCGGAAGACTATATGGTTGCATTTTGTTCATCATTCTTATCATCATCATTAGCATCATCATCGTCATCATCATCGTCATCATTATCGTCATCATATGGATGTATGTATAATTTTAGTTAAAAATTTTTGTTATATGTGATAATGTTTTTATTGCATTTGTTATTGTTATTATTATTATTTTTGTTGTTGTTATTGTTGCTGTTATTACACAAAAATTTGCTATAAAAACAAAAGTAAATACCAACCAAACAAACATAAACAAAACGAAACGAACAAACGAACGAGCTAAACAAACATTTGCCCATCGTTCTTCTGAATGGACCGGGGAGACGTTGTGAACGTTATATTATGTTTGCATGAGCGATTGTTTTTTTTGTATAAAACTTAAAAACTTGAAATATATTTATGCTTATATATGTAGTGGTGTGTGCTTGTATTTAAACAACAAAATAACTAACGTACAAACTAAGCTTAAAATTGTATGTGACTACTTGTGTATATATACATATATACATATATATATGCTAGCATTCGTATAGAGAAACCTCTAACCCTTTTCACCATTTATTTAAACCTGTTCTGTTAGCCATTCTAACACATATGCGCATAAGTACACATCTATATAAATATACATTTATTTGTCTAGTTTTAAAATGAAGCACAACTCTTTACAAATACTATGAATGCATCTCTGAACCGAGTATATATTTATTTGCTATTATTTTTATTTTTCCATTGTGTGAATTCGTCCCAATATATATATATATATATATAAATACTGCGTTTGTGTGTGTTCGTGCGTTTATGTATACGTGTGCCTGCTATTTTGTTTATGTATATTATCGTTAGTATTGGTATTTTCACTGTGTGGGCGTGTGTATGTCAGCAATAGCATGAATACCGTTTGGATAATAACACCTTTGCATTGATTCAATTAGGAATCGAATTATTATCAATTTTTAGAAAGAAAGCAGTATTAACAGGCAGTTTGCAAAAATGTTATTTTAAAGTTCAAAACGATCGAGAGGCTATACCATCTTTTCAAACATTTCTGCGGACATAAGGAATCAATTTTTTCAGTTCAACACTTTAAAACAAGTTATCCACCATTAAACATTTTACATCGCTTCGCTTAATACAGTTATTCATATAAGAACTCTTCATAATAAGTCGTTATATAGGAATTATTCTAATCTTGATCATTTTCAAAAACGTTTTCGTTGTTGCACCAAAACGCGTCAGTGGACCAAATTTCATCATAATATCTCAAAAAATGCCACCTGGAGGCTAAACACAAGAATATACGACGGACTGAAGGACAAAATCGTCTACGTAACCCCCTAATAGATATATATACATACATAAATACGTACGTATATATAATTTACGAAATCTTTGACTCTTATGCTTATGTTATGAGAGAAGAGTCAATTTACGCATCCAAGGTGCTTCATTCTTCAATAGTGAATCTAAAAATTTGAAAAAAAATTCATTGACATTTAAACGAACGTTTCCATTTTCGCGCTGGAATATTTATTTTATATTAGCATCCGCAAGATATTGTAGGCTATAATCTATTTCCCGTCGCAGTGGTTCTTAGATCTCTCAATTAATGAAACCGAGACGTTCGTACGCCAAAATTAAGAGTGAGTTTTAAATTTTTAGCCATTATATTGAGGTACATAGGATTCAAATTTATAAAGTTCGAGGACGGCAGGTTCCTAAAATTCTGAAGCAGATCTACTAAATAGCTTATGATGAATTCATTTACCCAAGAACACCTTAAACTACAGGAGTTTTGAATCACAGTTTGCCTACCAAGATGATCTATAATTTTCGAGGTTTGTGTTTTTGCTAAAAAAAATCACAACTTTGCTAAGCTATGATTTGGAACCAAGCAAAAATATAAAAACCAGTAACACAACTAATAAAACAAAGCAATTATAGGAAAAATTTATATACTAAACTGAACGTTTTATTATCATCTAAAGCAAGTTGGAAGACGACACTGAAGCAACGTTATATGGCGAAAGCGATCGAAAAAGTGATCCAATGCGATCCATTGTCACCGACGTTCGTTCTTGCGTCAAAACATGTCGGTGTACCGTACTTAATGAAAATATCTCAAAAATTTATTCCTGCTGCTTATAGACAAGAAAACAACACGAA